CTAATGTCATTTTTCACAGAACTAGAGAAAACTATTGTAAAATTTACATGGAACCAAAAATGAATCTGAATGGCCAAAGTAATCTTAAGCCAAAAGAATAAAGCCCGAGACATCACACTACATCACACTGTAGTATAGACTTCAAACTAAACTACAAAGGCTACAGTAACCAAAACAGCATGGTATTGATACAAAAGCAGACACATAGACCAATGGAACAGGTCAGAGAACCTAGAAATAAAGCCACACACCCACAACCATCTGATCTTCAACCAAGTTGACAATAACAAGCAATGGGGAAAGGACTCCCTATTCAATAAATGGTGCTGGGATAATTGGCTATTTGTATGCAAAAGATTGAAACTGGGCCCCTTCTTTTCACCATACACAAAAATCAACTCAAGATGAATTAAAGACTTAAAAGTAAAACCTCAAATTGTAAAAACCCTAGAAGAAAACCTGAGAAATAACCATTCTGGACATAGGCCTTGGCAAAGAATTCGTGATGAAAACTCTCAAAAGCAATTGCAACAAGAACATTGACAAGTGGGACCTAACTAAACTGAAGAGCTTCTGCACAGCAAAAGAAACTGTCAACAAATTAAACAGACAGAATGGGAGAAAGTATTTGCAAACTGTGCATCTGACAAAGTCTAATATCCAGGGTATCTATAAGGAACTTAAGGAACTTAAACCACCCCATTAAAAAATGAGCAAAGAACATGAACAGATGCTTCTCAAAAAAAGACATACATGTGGCCAAGAAGCATATGAAAAAATGCTCAACATTACTAATTATTACAGAAATGTAAATCAAAACCACAATGAGATACCATCTCACCAGTTGGAATGGCTATCATTAAAAAATTAAAAAATAAATGTTAGAGAGGTTGCAGAGGAAAAGGGAATGCTTATACACTGCTGGTGTGAATGTAAATTAGTTTAGCCACTGTGGAAAGCAGTTGGAGATTTCTCAGAGAACTTAGAACAGAAGTGCTGTTCAACACAGCAATCAAAGTACCAAAAGAATATAAATCATTCTGCCAAAAAGACACATGCTTGCATGTGTATTCCTTTCGACAAGAGCAAAGACATGTAATCAACCTAGATGCCTGTAAATGGTGGATTGGATAAAGAAAATGTGATACATACACATCATGGAATACTACATAGTCCTAAAAAGAATGAAATCACATCCTTTGCAGCAACATGGATGCAGCTGGAAGCCATTATTCTAAGCAAATTAACATAGGAACAGAAAACCAAATACTGCATGTTTTAATTTATAAGTGGGAGCTCAACATTGAGTACACAGGGACACAAAGAGGGGAACAATAGATACCGGGGCTTACATGAGGGTGGAGGGTGGGAGGAGGATGAGGATCAAAAAACTACCCACCCGGTATTGCACTCACTACTGGGGTGATGAAATCATTCGTACACCAAACTCCAGTGACATGAAATTTACTCATGTAACAAACCTGTACATGTACCCCCTGAACTTAAATTAAAAGTTGGAAGAAAAAAAAAGGATTAAAAAAAATAAAACAAAAGTTTTAGGTTGGACAAGGTGCCACAGAGTTTATTTATATTAACCTACATGTGATTCATTTTATCCATTTGGAGCTAGAATTTACCTATAAGAATTTTACAGGCCTAATCCTACTCAAACAAGCTAAATGTAAAAGTAGTTTCTAGATTCTTGGGTGGTATTACATTTTTTTAAGGATAACTAGTGTCCCTACAATTGGAATGGTGGCCACCTTTTGTTATTCAGATGTTTAGTTTTGGACAAAAGTATTCCTGAAAGCATCTTGCTCAGCGCTGGCCAGATAGTGAAGGTTCAATAAACATGGCTATCCTCCTACCAGGTTTTGAGTGGAATGACTAAAATCCCCCCACAATTATCCCATCTTTGCAAGGTCTCCTTTTCCTTTCAATGTTTAGGAAGAAGGTGCCACATGAAAAGCTGTCGAGTTTAAACCTTGTTCATACCTTCACACTGATATTTTATCATGAGTTTCACCCAAGCGCCAGGTTGCAAAATGTCGGCAAACTCGCAGTAGAGCCCAAAGGAAAGCAATGGTTAGATAATGAAACAAGGGCTTTGGGATGTAAGCAGAGATATTAACAGAGAGCCACATTTGTTTGCAGCACTTTTAACTACTCAAAGAATCTTGAAGTGACTTAATTTGTAGTTCAGACCCCTACCTCTACCCCCAGGTAATCACAGAGGTGATGAAAAATACTACATGCTCTCTTTCTTTTCCTAAGCTCTCTTTAATCTTGATCTTTGAAAAGCAAGTGGTTTTTCTTGTGCAAACAGCTTCATAGAAATGTCAAATCTGGCACCCACAGTCTATGCTGAAGGGGAAGACTTGGTACAAAAGGCTCAGTGCTCAGGGCCCAGGCTTTGAAATGACTCCAGCTGTATTGCCAATGCAAATGCAGGAGGGGAAAAATTACTGGAACAAATTGAAAGGTTATTCAGACTGGAATTTAGAATCTCAATAAAAAAGGCTTTTATAAGCCAAAGCCCTTGGAGTAACCGGATCATTTAAAAATACATCTTTTCTGCATTAAATGTAGTGTGACAGCCGCATTAGAAATGCTGCAGTTTAAGTATGTTCCTTAAACATTTTTAACTGACTTGTAAGGACAGCTAAAACCTTCTATTGGGGGGATGCTGGATCCCCAGTTCATACATAGTTTTCATTTCTTTATTTTTCCCTTTTTTTAAATACCTGGCTAATAGGTTTTTGCCTTTTCCCTGTGTTGATGGCTGCAGGCTCAGGGATCTCTGTGAGCTGCATGTCTTGATAAAAATTTGTTGAGCTAGTCATTTTGTTTTTTGACTTGCCAGAGAACAGTATTCCTGATCACTCAGACGTTGGTGATTAGAACAGCACAGCTGTATGGGAGTGGAATCCTTTTAACAAGAGGTGTTTAGGCCAAGAGACACAAATGTTAATATACCCCATCTAACATGAGGCAGTGACTCAGATGTGGGACTCCTTCCTGTTGTTCAAAGTCTGTTATTTCATGATCTTTTGGAAGATATGATCCAAGCCCATATTGTTGGTGTGCATGGCAGTTTTCTACCCCTACCTCCCTCCTACCCAACACTGTTACTTCCCTGACCCAAATAGGAGATTTTCCACCCCCACCCCCATTTCTACAGGGAAACAACCCTGTAGAGAGTGGAGAGTGCATTCACATCAAAGTAATGGACTTTCTTGTGCGGCTTTCTGCGTTCTCTGAGCTCCGCTGGGTACAGAGCTACCGTGGACCATGGAGTGTAGCTGGCCCAGCCCCTGCACTGGCATCTGCATGGGTCTTCCTGCCTGATTATTTCCAAAAATGGCTCAGTCTCCAAAAGATTAAGTTCATTGTTTTTAATTTGTGAAATATTTCAAATGTACTGAATATCCACTATCTGGATTTAGCAAATATTCACATTTTGCCATATCAATTTCAACTCTTCGGCCTTATTTTAAATCCTCACTTCCTTTCTCCTTCTCTAGGGGTCACATTATTTCCTTTCCCAGCAAAGTCAGCTCTTGGTGCTGCCAAATTATATTGTTTGTGTCGGTGTCTTAGGAGTTATATCACTGAACTCGAATTATAAGGTAACTTATCTCTAACCCATTCTAGATTCCTCACTTGTTGAGAAGAAAAACTTGGCCTTTGTAAAGACGTTGTCCCCAGCCTCAGTAACGTGCCAGTGCTGCAATTGGTTCTCACAGGTTTTTTGTTGTTGTTCTTATTTGCTCCTTTGTTTTGAGTGAAGGGATGACTTCACAGTAGAAAAATCCAAGGACTCAAGGGTTACAGATAACACATTGACAGCCTTTCTTCTTATTGAGGTTCAATACTTTTAATGAGTATTTTAGCACAGGATTGTAGAGTAATTTAATTCAACAGTTTGGACCTCCCAATGTTCCTATAACTAAAAGCTTTGAATTAACCCTGTTTGATATCTGATATAATTATAACATAATAGGACATCTTCCTGGTTAGAAGAGTATAAGTTGCTTCAAATAATGTACTGATCCTAACTTAATGAATTTTGATTTGCTATGCGGATATGTCTGAAACCTTTTGTCTTATTCATACTAGAAACCAGACTTCGTCTGAGACAAGCACTTCAGTGACACTGACTGTCATGGGTCATAAAGTGATGATGGAGATGCTGTGCATGGCCCGTCTTCTCCTCGTATAGTTGTCATAAAATAATAGAGTGATCTGTCTGGCTTCTGTGCTCCTTTGAGGCAGCATCACTAGCCCATATGGTTTAAGAACCATCTTGTTCACACATCATAAGGCCAAATCACCTAGAGCCGCCTCATTCCCACATAGAAGTCCAGTTCTTCCATGGATCCAGCATTCCTTTGACTAGAAGCATTTTCATGAAGACCTAGCAATGCACTATTTTGATGTATCCAAGTAAAATAATCTTTTAACATAAGGAGATACCTTCTTGCATTTTCTTCAGCTAAGATGGAGTTTGGGGATAGCCATGCATCGTGTTCTGCTCTGGGGATTGACATTTCTTTTTTTTTGTTTTTTGTTTTTATTTTGTTTTGTTTTGTTTTTTTTGAGTTTTGAATTTTATTGTGGCTAACACATTAGATGCATTATTAAGGTTTGACAATATGGTGACTGCCTATAAAGACTTTTGCAACCAGTGCCTGTAACCTTCATTCCAAATGAACATTCTTGTGATGGCTCCAATGTTATAGACAAGTATTAACAGCCAAAAAGAAAAAAGGAAATCTCCTTATGGTATGAAAGGCCTCTCAGCTGCAGCTGCCCTGACACCCAGACGAGCCCTCCCAGCTGCAGAGAGTGATTTCAGTCCATGTCAACACTCCTGCTTGTCTTTACAGCAGAATGAATTCTCTTTTGTCTCAGCCTTTCCCGATTCATGTTTTCTATCCTGATTCTCTGAAGTTTAACATCTTCTTTTGTTGGCTCCTTGGGTGTCTCGCTGGCCTCAGCGACCACGCCGGGCGCTGCACAAGCAGAAAGATGGCACTGAATTCAAGAGCATCTACAGCCTGGACAAGCTCTACCCCGAATCTCAGGGCTCGGACACTGCTTGGAGGGTCCCGGATGGTGCAAAGCAAGCCGACAGTGACATCCCTCTAGATGGCTTGACAATATCTTATTGTTGGAGTAGTGGTCCTGGGGGGCAGAATGTGAACAAAGTGAATTCCAAGGTGGAAGTCAGGTTCCATTTGGCAACTGCCGACTGGATTGCAGAGCCTGTGCGGCAGAAGATAGCCATCATGCATAAAAACAAGATCAACAGGTTAGGAGAGTTGATCCTCACCTCTGAGAGCAGCCGCTATCAGTTCCGGAATCTGGCAGACTGCCTGCAGACATTTCAATAGAAGGTTAGCCTAGGGGCTTTATCCCAACATTTTCTTCCCAAAGTAGTGGCAGTTCTTAATAGTATTGTTCACATAACATTAACAATGCATGAAGCCACCATGCCAATGCTTGCCTAGGGTTATGCCTCAGTCACCCCTTTCTCTTTCATTCAGGAACATCCTTTAGAATGCAAGTGGATGTATTAGTAGAATGATTAGCATCTGTCTTTATTTGTTAAAAATGGTATCTATCCTCAGACTTTGGTGCTTGGACTTTCATGAGTGACATGTTGCCATTGAGACTAGCTGTCCTTGAATAACAACACCTCAGTAGACTGTAACTTTTACTGAAGTGCTATGAGTTTGGTTGTCTTCAAAAATGATCTTGTAACTGATTGTCAAGGCCATTGTGAGAATCGATGCTCTCCAGCTTTAGGCTCTCACTCTCAGGGTGAGGAGCAGTGGGAGGCTGCCTGATCACATTTAAAGCTCACAGAGGGAAACACTTTTGCACTGACTGTGCCAGAATCCCATGCTCTGTGGCCAATATAATGGATTTCATTTGGGGCCCTGCATAGGCCAACTGTCATGATATGGTTGGGAAAGTTTCCATCAGCTACTGTGAGATCTATCACTCTGTTCCCTACCTCTGTTTTTGGCTTCTCTATTCCTGGTCACATTTTATGAAGCAGCCAACCATCCAGATTGGGATTTCATGCTCTGCTGCACTGCTGCCCAAGTTATTTTTCTTACAAAGGCCTCCTTTACAAAGTCCTTAATCTAAGTAATGCATAGAAGGTGTATTAATGGGTAGCAAGTGAAAGAAGGCAAGAGCCAGCTACTTCCTGAAAATTATTGTCATTAGAGCATTTCCATGAAGGCTGAACAATTCATTAGGGTGAGTCCAGGCAAAAGCCCCATCCCCCAAAACATATGTAATGAATTCAGATCTAATTGGCCATGGTCCAGTCTAGTTCTAAGGGACATTCTTGGCATTTTGGAGGTCAGAAGAGAGGTTTGATTTGAAGTTTGTTATGTATGTTTCCCACATGTTATATTTAAGTATGTTCATTATGTTCATTGGATGTTCCCATTGGCTTATTAGTTCTGGACAAAAGTTAGATAAATTATTCAACCCTGGCTCATCCTGCCATCAATCCAATGCCTCAGTGCAAAAGACATTCATACCCTTGTCCCAATACATGAAAGGGATTCACAGGGCAACCTAGGATTTGAGTGGGAAGGACGCCTTGAATGTGAGTGATGGTTTCAGATTGACATTGGTTTTGTTGGCTGGAAAGAGATCCTGATTCTTTCATCTGTGGAATTTTCTTTGTAGTCCCAGTATCAGAGTGTGGCTAATGTCTCCAAAGCTTTACCTGGAAGCCGTATGATGATAAAGGCTTTGAGTAAGTTGGGCTGTCCATAAGCTTTTGCTGACTGTTGAATTTCCATGGTCTGCCCATCCAAGAATTTCACTATGTGGGGTAGCTTGAGGGAGAGGGAGATTTCTGGGGCAGTGGTTACCTGAGTTTTTATTTGCTTGTTTCACTTCAGCAGAGGAGTGAGAAAAGTAAGTGGCACATTGAGTTTGTGTATAGAAGGAGCTGTTTATCTGATGGAAAGGCCCTTCCAAATCCTGTTTTCATTCCCTTTTGCCTGTTGGAGTTGGAGTTAGACCCCCTTTATAATAATCAAGACTGGGTTATGTGACTTTAAGTCCACCTATATCCACAGAGGCTAGAGATAGGCGTTGTTTAAAGCTTTCAAGTGCTGAACAATGAATGCAGGTTATGGTTTGGCAAGGTAATTGTTTATTTGAAACCAAAGTCAGAGATATGGGAGACATAATTTAAAGAACTCAGGGGCCTTATATTCCTGGCCTTGAGTCAATCAAAGAACATTAAAACCATCCAGTGAAACTTTTCTGGAGTTCTAACTGAAGAATCCATTATAATTCACTGGTCTTTAATCTCTGAGAATGAGAAGTAGCTGAGTGGTATCACATGATATATACAAAGGTGTTATCGAATTTGATGGCAGGCCAAAACTGTTTTGCCTGCATGTTCTAATAAAACATGGAAGTTTCAAGTCAGTGAAATAAATTTTAAGGTTTAGATTACGAGCTGTCTGGCCCACTCTGTAGAGCTACCAAAGACAAAGTGACAGAAAAATAACCCTAATAAACACTTCTTCGAAAGGATAGAATTGAACAGGATCCTTTTGGTTGCAGACCTTGTGATTACTGCCAAATTGTTTGTTTATAATAGGTATGTGTTGATTGAGCAGAGATAAAGCTGGAATCTTAGCATTGAATACCGCCAGCCTTGGCCCAAGTATGCAGGAGGTAGAGAGTTGGGGCTATTTGGAAAAGAGACAGATAATTAAATCTTTTAGAGAAGTATGCTTTTGAATGCATATTTGTAAGTTAAGCCATAATTTAAATGCCCAAATCCTAGACGGCTCCAGAATTTCCTCCAACACCTGAATTCATGGTGGAGGGGTGAGACCCTGACAAGCCTTGACTGACTTTTAGGCATTCCTTTATTTTTCACCAGACCAGTTTGATTTTGACTTAAATCTTGGTTCTTACGTTTCTCTCTTTTTCTGTAACCCTATTGATTGATAAGACAATTTTTTTTTCTTTTGGTTTTCCACTAATTCTGGTATGATAAGGTGAGGCCAATTTTAAATAACTGTTCTTTACATCTGCTTATCAACCATAAAACCTAATTCTATACCCATCTTCATTTTTTTTTCAAGATGGAGTCTTGCCCTGTTGCTTAGACTAGAGTACAATGGCTCAATCTCGGCTCACTGCAACCTCTGCTTCCCAGGTTCAAGCAATTCTCCTGCCTCAGCCTCCCAAGTAACTGGGACTACAGGTGCATGCCACCATGCCTGATTAATTTTTTTTTTTTTGTATTTTTAGTAGAGATGGAGTTTCACCATATTGGCCAGGCTGGTCTCGAACTCCTGACCTCAAGTGATCCACCCACCTCAGTGTCCCAAAGTGCTAGGATTACATGTGTGAGCTACCGCGCCCAGCCTTCATTTTTAAACTCTAGTTGCAGACTGCTTAATGTCTTCTCTCTCTCTCTCTTTTCTTTTTTTCTTTTTTTGAAGAGAGAGACTCCCTCTGTTGCCCAGACTGGAGGGGAGTGGCATGATCTCGATTCACTAAAGGCTTAGCCTCCTGGGTTCAAGTGATCCTCCCACTCAGCCTCCCGAGTAGTTGGGACTGCAGGTGCGCACCACTATGCTGAGCTAATTTTTTAATTTTTTTGTAGAGACAGAGTCTCACTGTGTTACCTAGACTTGTCTTGAACTCCTGACCTCAAGTGATCCTCCTGCCTTGGAAGTCTTATCTTTTAAAATCCATCACTAACCAGGCATGGTGGCTCACACCTGTAATGACAGCATTTTGGGAGGCCAAACTGGGATGGTTGCTTGTGACCAGTAGTTCAAGACCAGCATGGGCAACATAATGAGACCCTGTCCCTACAAAAAAAATTTAAAAATTAGCTGGAAATGAGGGCATGTGCCTATAGGTCCAGCTACTCAGGAGGCTGAGGTGGGAGGATTGCTTGAGCCTAGGAGTTTGAGTCTGCAGTGAACTATGGATTGCCACTGCATTCTAGCCTGGGTGAAAGAGCAATACCCTGTCTCTAAAATGAAAATAAAATAAAATCAGTTGCTTACTACCTGGTAGAGGTACTATTTTCCAAACCAACAACAACAAAAAATCTTTTGTTTTCACACACACTCATAGGGAGAGAGGTGGGTGTCAAAAATCAGAGAATGGACTCATTCATTTGCTAAATATTCATTTGTTTAGGCATCGAGCAAGTATTTGTGGAGCACCTGTTGTGTACCAGGCATTGAATTAGCACCTATGAATAGCACAGGTGAACAGTGGTTCCTGAGGAGTCAGGAAATAAACCCTAAATAAAATATTTAATGGCAAATTGTGGTAAGTATGATGAAGGGAAAATCAGTGTCTTGAAGAGAGATTTGTATTAATGAGGCTAGGCTGATTTGTGTTGCTATAACAATAATAATGAACATGAAATCTAAATGACTTAACAAAAATGAAGATTTGTTTCTTCTCACATTCCAATATGATGCAGATTGGGTAGTTCTATTGGGATTTGAGGGTCCAGTGTCCTTCTGTCATTGGTGCCACCAACTTTAACGTGTGGTCTTGACAATTAATGGCAAGAGGGAGAGAAAGATTGAGGCAAATTGCACAGGCAGGTTTTTAGCCAGCTGGGAAGTGGGTATATCATTTCTGTGCATATTCCATTGTCCAGAATTTAGCCACATGGACCCACCAACATGACTACCAGGAAAACTGGGAAACACAGTCCTCCTGAGTACATAAGAAGAGAAAATGGGAATGGTGAACATCTTGATTTTAATGGAAGATTTCATTTAGACCAGAGGCTCCAAGAGGCTCTCCCTGTAGAAATGATGTTTAACTGGTAATTAGAATATTAATTGTTAGCCGCATTGAGTGTAATGGGAGTACATCACATTTTAAGTATGTTTAGAGACCTTACAATCATTACTATAGATTTGCTACCAGTTGGGAGGATATAATTAGAATATTTAATTAAATCTCCTTACCTACAATTGAAAATGTTAAAAAGTCAGAGGCCCAGCTGAAGAGGCAATTTAATTACAATCTGGGTAAACGGAGCAACCAGTGTAACTGTCATTCATCCATGGCTATGTAGCATATTTTGATAGACAGTAATTGAACTCTTGCCATCAAATAACAAACAGGGGAGAGACTGTTTGATTCGTGGGCAAAGGCCAAACTGTGGACTCACAGAGGGCTGAACTCTTATCCTAATTGTGCGATAAAATAACGTGATTTTTTTCAAGCCAGCTTACGTCTCTGAGCCATCTTTCTCTCGCATAAAGAACAAGAGTAATAGCCACTGTTCACTGGATACCATGTACATAAGACTGTGCCTCAGCACTCCACATTGCCTTACTAAATGACCTACAGGGAACAGCACCCTCAGAAAAGATCTATTGTACTGGTTAGGATGAGCCAACTTCAAACATCTGTCACCTGGAGACAGAGCAGCTCTGGAGCTGGCTAATTCAGCAGCTCAGAGTAATTTTTATAGCGATACTCTCTGCCATTCTCAACATGTAAACAATGACACCATCATAGTCTCAGGTGATGGCAGCAGTTTGAGGAGACACCAGCAGACTTTTCTATATCTCTTTTTATCTTATAAAAGAGGGAGTTCTTCCCTATCCCCACACAGGCACCTCTGTAGATCCCATCGGCCAGAAATGGGTCACATGCTTATGCCGGAACCAATCAATGGCAAAACAGATGGGATTGCCATGATTAACATAGACCAATCGTGATTCCACACTGGGACTTGGGAGGAAGCCTCCTCTCTGAACATAGAAGAGTGGATATCTGGACAAAGTTGGGACACAAACAAGGAGAAATAGGGATGATGTTAGGCAGACAGTTGGCAGTACCTGCCCTTCCTCATCTGCTGCTATCAGACCACCTAAGCTCTCTGACATGCTTGCCACTTGGAGTAGCTTCCTCATAGCTTTCTGCAGACAAATATAAAATGCCGAAAGCTAGATAAAGGTTGTCTTCCTCCCGTCCCTCCCTTCCCTTTAAATGCTATGTGGTGAATATTAAACTTACCAAATACAGCCTCTGTTTTAATGCAAGAAATAATAGAGACAATTTTGAGTAGGAGGAGGAGCTGCCTTGGGGAGAAGGCCTACTATTATAAGAGGGCTCTAGACAGCCTGGTTAAAATTCTGACTCTACAACTTACTTGTTAGGTGACCTCAGGCAAGAGTGTAAAGCTCTCAATGCTAGTTTCTTCATCTGTAAAAATGGAGATTATCATCTTGATAAAGCCTACCTGTATTCATTTCCTGTTTATGTTGTAACAAATTACCACAAATGTAGTGGCTTAAACAACTCCTTTTATTATCTGACAGTTCTTTGAGTCAGAGATCAGATGAGGGTCTCACTGGGTTAAAGTGAAGGTGTCAGCTGGACTGTATTCCTTTCTGGAGATGCAAGGAGAGTGATATGGTTTGGCTGTGTCCCCACCCATCTTGAGTTGTAACTCGCACAATTCCCATGTGTTGTGGGAGGGACCTGGTAGGAAGTAATTGAATCCTGGTGTCAAGCCTTTCCTGTGCAATTCTCGTGATAGTGAATAAGTCTCCAGATCTGATGGTTTTATAAGGGGGCGTTTCCCTGCACAAGCTCTATTCTCTTGTCTGCCACCATGTGAGATGTGCTTTTCACCTTCCACCATGATTGTCAGGCCTCCCCAGCCACTTGAAACTGTGAGTTGATTAAACCTCTTTATTTTGTAAATTGCCCAGTCTTGGGTATGTCTTTATCAGAAGCATGTAAACGGACTAATACAAAGAGAATGTGTTTTCTTGCCTTTTCCATTTTCCAGAGGCTGTCTGCATTTCTTGTCCCATGGCCCCTTCCATCTGCAAAGCCCAGCCACAGCCGGCTTAGTCTGCCTTGCACGGCAGCACAAACTCTGAAACTCTCTTCCGCTTTAAACAGCCCTGTGGTTGCATTGGCCCCATGGGATAACTGGCCCTATTTTAACATCATCTGATTAGCAATCTTAATTCCATCTGCAACCTTAATTCTCCTTTGTCATGTAACATCACATAATCACGAACTTCTAGACATCATGGGGACAGGAGTGGGGGAACACAGTATTCTGCCCACCATACTACCCATAGGAATGCTGTGATGATTAGGTGAGATAACTTCTGTCATGGCTTAGAACAGTGTCAGTCACATAAGCAAATGTTCAGTAATTGTCCT